CAAAACAGTTTGCTCCTAAAAAAAAAAAAAAAAAAAAAAAAAAAAACACCTGAAGGGTTAAAGCGCTATGTGTGGAAAAAACCAGGCACTGCTCATCACCTGTCCAACACAGTCCCAACAGTGAAGCATGGTGGTCCTGCAGGGACAGGACGACTGGTTGCAATCGAAGGAAAGATGAATGCGGCCAAGTACAGAGATATCATGGACAAAACCCTTCTCCAGAGTGCTCAGGACCTCAGACTGGGCCAAAGGTTCAACTTCCAAAAAGACAATCACCCCAAGCACACAGCTAAAATAACCAAGGAGTGACTTCACAACAACACCATGTTCTTGCCTGGCCTAGCCAGAGCCCTGACTTAAACCCAATTAAGCATCAATGGAAATGGACCTGAAAATGGCCGTCCACCAACGTTCACCATCCAACCAAATGACAGAACTGGAGAGGATCTGCAAGGATTTCATAATTAGAATTGATATTTGAGAGTAATCAATACTCAATACTCGCGAGTCGAGTCGATACTCCCGTTACTGTTCAAAAAGGTTATTCAATTGCATACCAGTGAAAGTTCATTATCTAAATTTCAAATGGAGGATATTTGAAGCATTGATCCAGAAATAAACCCAAAACCATTCATCCCTTATACTATTAAGCTCAGGTTTTTGACAAAAAAAAAAAAAAAAAAGCAGATGTGGGGAAGAAAACAAACCAAGTAGCACATGTGGTATAGTACTTAATTTTAATATTTAAAGAAATACAAAGCCCTTGTTTGCCACCCCCGGCCCCACCCCGTCCCCACCTCAAAAAACATTAGCACATCAGAACTGATGAAAATCTACTGAAACAATATAAACGGTCAAAACGTAAAGAATTTCTTTTAAATGGATTGCAGAAGTGCAAAACTGTAGTTACGCGACGCTTTATTGGTAAGGTAAACGTATCCGCTATAGGTAAAACAACACGAGCCGCCGTCCCAACAGCTCATCGAAAGCAAAAGGTCAAGGTCCTTCTATCGACCTTTTTTTTTTTTTTTTTTTCAAAAAAAAAAAAAACAAGGTTATAAACAAATCGTCCGTCGTGTGCAAGAATAATTTAGCTTGAATTCAGTCCAAGTTTTGCAAAGCTTAACATAAGGAATAAAACTGCTTCCCAACTGGATTTGGGAGACAAATAAAATGCTAATAATTATACAAAAAAAAAAAAAAAAAAATTAGCCGAAAATTAGACCGAAAAATAGCCAGCAGGACCGCACGCACAATACAACCTCAACTTAGGTCATCTTAGGTCCGACAAATAAATGGTTCTTGAAACGACTGGTGTGTGGGTTTGACAAGACTGACCACAGCTTTGCTGTGAGTTTGTACCACTTAAATTAATGCATAAACCCAGACAAAAAAAAAAAAAAAAAAAAAAAATTTTCTCTTGTCATGACTAAAAACACCACACTGCAGTGAAATAACCGCTGCCTTCAGGAAAAAAAAAAACAAAAAAAAAAAACAACAACATCAGTGCTGTAGGATCCGTACAGTTTATTGTACGTGTCCGTTTCCGGGGGGTTTATTGGAATAATCATCCGTCGCTCTAGCCATCTAGTTCGAGTTGTTATGTTATGCGACGATTTATTTCAGTTCATCTTCCAAAAATGAACGTTTGCCATCTACTAACACAACAGAAACACAGCAAAAAAAAAACAAAAAAAAAAAAAAAAAACAAAAAAAAAAAACAACAACATCAGTGCTGTAGGATCCGTACAGTTTATTGTACGTGTCCGTTTCCGGGGGGGTTTATTGGAATAATCATCCATCGCTCTAACCATCTAGTTCGAGTTGTTATGTTATGCCGCGATTTTTTTCAGTTCATCTTCCAAAAATGAACGTTTGCCATCTACTAACACAACAGAAACACAGCAAAAAAAAAACAAAAAAAAAAAAAAAAAACAAAAAAAAAACAAAAAAAAAACAAAAAAAAAAAAAAAAAAAAAGAGGAGACATGATGAAGATTATGCTGCTCCACTCTGGAAGCGCCATCTTGTCAGAAACTAAGCTGAGTTAACAGCTTCCTGTCCATGTCTATTCCTCTCTTTTTTTTTTTTTTTTTTCCTCCTTTCTCCCCCCTCCCGCCACCACTCCTCCCATCAGCATTTTGAATCATCAAAGATTTAGATTTGATGACTCTATACTGACCAGGTCTTCACACCATGTACAAGTTCTGGTTCTTCAGTTTGTCCAGCTCTTTGCTCTGCTGCCTCAGAAACAGGATTCTGTAATTGAGGAGGGGAAAAAAAAAAAAAAAAAAAGCCTTTTTGCATTATTTTCCGAACTTTTTTTGGTCAGGGTAAAAAAACACTTGACGTTCCTCACCTCTGTTCTCTCAGCGTGGCCTGGATTTCACACACCCTGACCAGGGAACGGAGATTTTTCATCTCCGTGCAGATTTCAGACATATATAGGCTGCCCATGTTGTGAACATCCTCATGTAACCGAGCCGCCTGAGCGAGAGGGAAAGAAGAAGAAAAAAAAAAAAAAAAAAAAAAGGTGCTTTTATGTCATTAAAATAATATTTTATGAGCAACAAAAATTGTATTAAAAATCTTGTAAAATTAAAGCTCTAGTGCTTTGGGATTAGAATAGCGACTGTAATCCCTTGGTTTACTGCCATCGCACAAACAAACAAAAACAACTGTACCTGTTTCTCCGTCCGCTCTGAAGGCCATCCTTGGATATGTTTGATGAGGTTCTCATCAAAATGAGCAGCTAGGGTGGAAATACAGGAGCTCGGAGTCTCCCTCTGGGTTTGGCTGGTGCTGCTAAAGGGGGAATGGAGTGGCAACGCAGGGACCGCGTGCGATCCTGGGCAAATGACCCCTGGGCTGAAAGACAAGCGAGACAATTACATCCAAGTTTGTGCACCTCTTAACTTGAAGAAGATATCAGCCTTTAGCAGCGCACAATTAAAGTCTACGTATTTGGGCTGTCAAAATTAACGCTTTCATCTAAGTTAATACTTAAAATAACATCTCATTAAACGGAGGGTTCAAGTTCTGTCCGACCAGCCTCACCAAGCGCGAACAGTAAATACAGTCATTTCCGGACTATACGATTGAGCGCACCTGAATATAAGCCGCAACCGCTACATTTAAAAAGACAAAAATTATTGCACACATACAGGCCACACTACAAGCCGCAGGTTTCTACGTTGTAAGATGTTAAAAAGATGTTTGTTTTTTTTCCCCCGAACAGTGCCTGTAACATGGCTGGTTACACGTTAACTCTCGCCTGCTTCGGAGCCCCGACCGTAGTTGGAATGTACAGCAGAGACTTAGCGATCTGCTCCAGGGCTGATGCTAACATTAGCTGCGGGGCTAACTGACGCCCTTCACTTTGTGCTTGTCCGCAGCAGAGGTAAACAGAAAACAGGGAAGTTGGGGGTCTTTATTATCAGCCACACACATAACCAACATACGCAACATATGCATACCTAGCAGAAAAGCTATTTATCACTAGCGGTCTGAACTTCGTTCGCCGCATAAATTAGCCGCATCTTTGTTTAAGCCGCAGGTTCCCAAGCATGTGAAAAAGGTAAACGGTTTGTAGTCCGGAAATTACGGTAGGTCTACGCCTGACAAGCTGACTGATAAAATTGTCAAATGCATTGTGAGAGGACTGTAGACGGACTAAAATGACTGAGGACAACGCGTTGAACAAAGTATTGAAAGTACAACTCGATCTGTTCCACAAGCCAAACAGTGTTTGCAACAAGGGAACATCTGTACGTTTAGCTCTGACTTTCGTTGGCATTCCTCTGTCATACGCGCTTTACTTATTTTTATTTTTGGAAAATCTATCAGTAGCAACAACGGCAAGTCAGCGACCGGACTCTAAACAGGCCTTTTACCTTTTTTGTTGAAAAGTTCTAGGATCTTCTGGTCGCTTCTCTGTTACCTGAGACAGGGGGACAGATCCTTGCTTCGCCGAAGTCACACTGCCCTGAAGAAAGAAAAAAAAAAAAACAAATAAAGAATTTAAAAAAAAAAAAAAAAGAGAAAAGTTCAGAAAAGATGAACTGCTACTCTAGAAATAGATTCATGTTTTTTTTTTT